TTTTTTTCGCTGTGAGCCACAAGATCTTGTATATATTTCCCTACGCTATACAGTATTATCTATTCTGCATATGCCTGTCAGTGTCTACAAATTTTGAATTCCCAGCTGAGTTACATTTTTTAAGAAATGAAATGTATTCATCATTTCTCTCTTATTGTTGGGTGATTAGAAGTGTAGACTAGGAATATTTTGGGATGTTAAGGTTCTACTATGAAATGATGTGAACATAAAATTATTCTATAGTGCCAAAATTACAGTCAGACTGTGCCATTGGTGCTAACTGTATGAAAAACACTTCAGACCCCAAATTATTTTATTTTGGCATTGGTTTTGCTTATTTAAAATTGTTCTGTTCTTAATTTTTAGGCATGGAATTGTTTGAAGAGGCATTGCGTCGATGGGAACAAGCTCTAACCTTTCGAAATAGACAGGCTGAAGATGAAGCCTGTGGTTCCATTAAATTGGGTGCAGGAGATGCCATTGCAGAAGAAAGTGTAGATGTAAGGGTGATTTACTTGGGAGTGGTCTTCATAATATTGGAAGAATTGCACTATTTTTAATGTTGATTCAATGTACTTGATTTCTGTGGCATTTAATAGAATTTTTTTTTCTTCCTTTGGGATTGTAATGGGATATTTCTTTTGGGGCCTTTTCTGTTCAATTATTTGTTAAATCCTGAATTTGCAATTCATTATTAAGTTTCCTGATTCTCCAAGAATATATAGAATTAAGCAGATATGATTTCTAATGGAATTTTTAAAAGTCTGTTTTTGTGCTTTGGGTTTAATTAAGTCCCATTGTATTGATAAAAATCGCATAGAGTTAGAGCTAGACTGGAATTAATTGATCATCTAGGTTAGTGATTCTCAAATTTGAGGGTGAATCAGAAACCTCTGAAAGGCTTCTTAAAACACGGATTTGGGAGCCTCACCCCCAGGGTTTCTAATTCATTTCTAACTTGCCTTTCTAATGAGTTTCTAGGTGATATTGATGCTGCTGGTCCAGGGATCTTACTTTGAAAACCCCTGATCTAGTCCAGCTCCTTAATTTTACAGATAAGGAAACAATCCCTGAGGCCTGAGATGATTTTGCCAAAGGCACAACTACAAGCCAGGCTTCCTGACTTCTATCACAGTATTCCACCACCCGACAGTAGCTTTTTAATAATAAATCCCTCACTTTCTCTGCCTTTCATTTAAGAGTGGAAAATGTTAAGAATTTTAACATTAGAGGGGGGAGGGTGTAGCTCAAATAGTAGAGCACACGCTTAGCATGCATGAAGTCCTGGGTTCAATTCCCAGTACCTTCTCTAAAAAAACCCAAACGAATCTAATTACCTACCTGACCCCCACCAAAATTAAATAATTAAATAATACAATAATAAATAAATAAAATAAAAAAAAGACTTTTAACATTAGAATCTAATATTTGCTGTGTACACTTTTTCTCTCCTTATAGGATATTATTAGTACTGAATTTATCCATAAACTTGAAGCTCTGCTGCAGAGAGCCTATCGTCTCCAGGAGGAATTTGAAGCCACCCTGGGAGCAGCTGATCCTAATTCCCTTGCTAATGATATTGGTAAGATGGATGTTTTATGTGATTTTTTTTGAAATGTGTGATTTTCTTCTTTTATATTGTTGGAATCATTTGCTGAAGTTTATTAATATGGTTACATACTTTTTAGAAAATGGTGAAGAGGAAAAATAGTTCTATCGTATTTATTGGTTTTCTCTTTCAGTTTAATTTTTCAAGTGAACTTACTGATATAATTCAAGTATTTGTCATAAATAGGATTATGATATTATTTTAAAATTACATTCTAAGTGAAAGAATCCCAGTTAAACTGTTAGAGGGAGGGAAAAATATAAACAATAATATAAAAATGGGACAGACACACTACCTCAGAAATGTATGTGTAGCTCATGGCATACATTTAAAATGTTTTAAATATTTCTGTTTCTTGACCATATTTCAATTGCAGGCTAGATTTTGATGTGAGTAGTCAATACATGCATTATTCTATTACCTTTGTTTCCTACTTTAAAAAAAAAAGTACTCAGAAGAGACTTCTTAAGTGAAGTCTCGCAAGGAAAGAATGATTAGAATTGCTTCCTTGACTTCTTTAAATAATACAAAGAATAAAATAAAATTATATTACATA